CGCCGGAGCCCGTACAGTTCCCTAATGCTCTTCAAGTTCCGAACAGGAGCAAAAACTTTATCATGGACTTTGACAGTTTATGAACAAATGTGGGCTCATGAATAAATTGATGCATAATTAATGATACAGTCAACAGAATGAGAGTATCTCCATATATCTTTTGTCAACGGTGCCTTATTTGTTTACAGAGTTGTTTGTTCTTCACGGGTCATAAATATACATGGACTTATTTTGGTTAAGTGTGTTCTATACCACTGCCTGTTGTGGTTTCAGGAGAAGGCGGCCTCCGCCGTATAATATATGACTGTTTTTTGAAAACGTCTCCCGTAAGATAAATGACCAAAATCGCTGTATTCAATGAACTCAATTTACGTCCGTAAAATGAGAAGCACGTACTACACCTGTTGATGGAAGTATACACTCTTATTATGTTAAGACGTCTGTTATAAACTGATTTATTGACCTGATTTTCACCGGTGACCGCAGGAACAAGAACAAAGTCGCATTTCACGGGTTGGCAATATTTATTTTAAATACAACTTGTAAGCACAAATCCAATTTTTTTGCTTAGCAGATAAAACCCAGACCTACATTGGAAGACGAAAGGCACTGATCGTTACTATCTTCGACAAATGATCCCTCCGTATATAAAGAAAAAGGGCTAAAACAGAGAGTATGTGGCCTATATAAACACTTAGAAAGTCTGTGCGTTCCCAGAAATAACAGGACACAAAAGAGGACACTTCTTCTTTTTCGTGTCTTCTTAGTTTCTTCTTCTCTTTTCGATTCAACGACACATTATCCTCGGAGGTCAACACACACACACTGCTCCGATGAATAGAAAACAAATTTGTTGCATATTTAATGCCTCATTTGTCACATGTCTTTGAGAAACTGTTTTCGTCTGCTAAGGAGGCTATAATTGGCAGAATAAATTAATGATCTCTTAATGTCTTCAGCTTGATTTATTCCCTTATAGTCAGCCATGTCCAAGCTCTGGCCCGGGGGCCAACAATAACACATTGTTGTTGTTAGAATTGTGTATTTAAAAGCATAACCTAAAGGCAAAACAGTCGTATTAAAGATATAATGTTACTAATCTTTTAGTATTGTTTTACTTATTTTTATTAATTTATTGGCTATTTATGCTGTCATACATTTTGGCTAACATTATGCCAATTTGCTAATTCCAGATTATAAGGAATGTAAATCTAGTTATAGCTGGCTTTTCATCAGACCTCAATGTTATTACCTTTAATGTCATTTTTACCAACTTTCGTTGTTTGATACGTACTTTTCTGTATTTTTAGCCACCGTCCAGCTAGCTCTAGGCTAATCTTTGGTCTTCTCAGTAAATCTAACTAAAAACCTAAATGTTTCTGATGTTACTCATTGTTGCAGGTTTTCCCTCCTGGTTCCTTCTGATAAGCTGATTAATTATAGTAGAGGTCAAGGTGGAACCTCTTCTATTTGATCTTCATTTGCACTGATTTTATTTGTTCCAACTAAAAACGAGTCTTTTCTTTGATACATCTCTCTCTCTCTCTCTCTCTCTCTCTCTCTCTCTCTGTCTCTCTGTCTTTCCACAGACTCCTAAATGCTGGACCGGCCGCTTCCTGATGAACCTTTGGGCCATCTTCTGCTTACTGGTTCTGTCCAGTTACACCGCCAACCTCGCTGCTGTCATGGTTGGGGAAAAGACCTTCGAGGAAGTCTCCGGAATCCACGACGACAAGGTTAAACTTTGGCACCGGACACACACACACTCACACACGCACATTCTTCAACAAAAAGCTAGTGTAAATGTTCACATAAACTAATCCTTCACAAGGTCGTTGGCTAATGAGTGAAGAGCGGAATGATTTGTGCAGATTATCACTTTCTATATCACTAAACCCCGTTAAGACTTCAGGGCAGCGGTGAATTTTATACTCCCCTCATTATGCTGTCTGCACCGTCTCCCTCCTTAATTGCTTCTCCACCCTCTAATATCCATACCTCCCCGTGTCTCGTCCCCAGCTGCATCACCCTTCCATGGGTTTCCGCTTTGGCACGGTGCGAGAGAGCAGCGCCGAGGATTACATGAAGAAAAGTTTCCCAGAAATGCACGACTACATGAGGCGCTACAACCAGCCCACCACCCCAGAAGGAGTCCAAATGTTGAAGTAAGAGCCACGACAAGTACACAGTACTGTAGTGGTTATCACATCTGCCTTACACACAGAAGGTGCTTGGTTTGAGCCCCTTAATGGCCCCTGCCATGTGTGAGGTTTTAATGGGAGGCTTAAGCCTTGTCTGTGAAACTGGCCCACAGAGCTGGATATGATATGCAGAAGGTTAGGGTGGTAAAGGATAAAAAGAAGTACACTGGGAGTGAGAGAACACAAAATATGTTAGTATTTAGAATAAAATAAAATAAATCTAAGAATTTCATTTATTTTATATCCACATTTCAGCAAATCTAATTAAAGTACCCAGGATAGTGTACTCCAGTTGGATTTCACTTTTTTCCAAATTTACAATCTGTACAACCACAAGCTGTACTTGGCTCAGTTAGAGTTTCTACACATACTCATTAATTTACAGCCTGCTCACCAAATTAAAAATCAATACATGTGCCAACATGTTTTGCTTGAAGTCTTTATTTGATGAGATCCTCCATGCTGGGTGCTTTCTGCTTGGACAGAGACTATTTCACTTTTTCAATCAATTTACTTTGACGCCTAAAATCATTGGAAATTTGTAGTTGTACTTAATTTCATGGAAAAAAAAAAGCAAATGTTTTTTTTTTTTAGGTTTTAAAAGCACGGGGTGATGTTCAACCTCGTTATCAGATGTGCTGAGTGAACACGCTGTTTGCTTTCGCATCCGACAGAGAAACTAATCAGTCTGTGAGCTGCATATATTTGCACTGCATTTGCATGGGTTTTTTCCTTAATCAAACATGTTTGGTAGCAAGCTGGAGTTGAGTAAATACATCAAACACACACACACACACACACACACAGGTGTGAGTTGTGTGTTTTAAACTAACAGAGGATTTAGGAGGTTTATTTTATGTTGAAGAGACATAGTGTGGAGATAAAGTCCCAAAAGTAATTGAAAAGTCTTTACATAATACATAAAAATGACAGGAGATGAAATCACAAATGTATGAAATAAGATAAAATATTTGGAAAGAGGTTTTTACTAGAAGCTAAACAAAAAATAAACAAGGATTAGATTGGACAAAAAAAATTAATAAAGGTTGCAATAAATTAACAAAGTTATCAAACAATACAGACACAAAGGTAGACAAATTAGACCTTAAAGTCTAAAATAACCAAAGTTAGCTAAGCTTAAGGCAAGACCAGTAAAAGTTAGGAAAAAAAGCTAACAAATGAGTAGAATAAGGCAAAAAACAAACAAAACAAAACAAAACAAAAAACCCCTGAATGCTAGCATAAGCAGCTAAATACAGGAAGATTTGCAAAATTTCAAATAGTCATGTTCACCAAATGTTAAAAGTTAAATGGTAGCGCAAAGGTTACCAAACCACTTACTGAAAAACGTATGTTAATTTAGACGAAATAGCTAAAAAGTCCTTTAAAAAAATGCTGCTTAGCCACAGCTGGGCTGTCCAACAAAAAGACAGGGTTAGCCAAAAGTTAGCTCTAAAAGAGAATCTAACTGTGATGACAACCATGAAGTGGCCAAAAACCAGCTGCTGTAGAAGTCCATATTCAACCTGGTATTTAATGAGGCTCTAATTACTTGAACGATGTAGAAACGTTCTCACCTTCTTCTCATCTGCCAAACCTCTGTCAAACGTTACAGTAATAGCAGCAGCTTTTTGGCTAACATTGGAGATGTTGTGTTTTTTTCAACTTTAAAATGTAATTTGTGTGTCATCTGCATAATGTGTTTCTTTTTATAGTTATAGTTTGGGATTTATTTCTGTCGCATATTTGGAAAAGGTGCTGCAGTGTCACAGTGCTCCATCTGGCTTATTAACATTACTCAGGCAGGATGATTAAACATGTCAGCGCTGAGTTACTCCCGTTTCTTTAATGTGGCATCTGATGCGGCTCAAGAGCAATAAGGAGCCTGAGCAGCTGATCTGACAGGTAGGAGGGTAATAAACTGTAAGTACATTTTCACGTACATACTCTACATTACCTAAGAATGACTTTACATTAGCCCGCTTGAATGTTTGGCTGAATAAACTAAACTAAAAACTAAACTAAAATATATCCAAATATGTACATTGTTTTAACTATAGTTCAGGCCAAAGAAGCTAAAAAACAGCAAAAAGATTCATGATTTTAAGGAAAAAAGGAATAGCCAAAAGAGAGTCAATAATATAGCCAGACGGTAACAGAGAAATGTGCTGATTTTATGCAGGTCAGGTGTAAAAAAAAAATCCATTAAAACACTCTAAATGACTTAATGCTATTCATCGACCAGCTAAATAATTGCCTTAAATAGCAACGTATGGGCACAAGTAACAACCTGTTTGTTTTCAGACAAGTCTCAGGAGAAATGTTCGATCACCTTCAAAGAAAATGTGCATCTTTATCTTCAATTTGTTCTTCGGATTTCAATTTGAAAAACATTATTAAGTAGTATGAAAAACATGCTGTGCAGCATTTTTTTATTTTTTTTATTGGTTTTGAGGCTAATATTAGAAATATTAGCAAATTGTAGGATGGAAGCTCAGTGAAAATAATATTATATATATAGATATACATTTCTTTACATATATATAATATATATGTTTAGTAAAAGACTTCAGAAACATCTGTAAGTGACACATGCTGAAAAATACACTCAGCTTAAAATCTGCGTCTACACTGAGCAGCACCGACGCTGAGATACGACGTCTGCTGACAAAAGTGATATAACAGAGAGACGGTGAGAAAATAGTGGAAGATGAGGGTGATGATGATGATGATGATGATGATGATGAAGGTGGCATCCGTCTGCATGAGTGTGGAAGCACAAAACAGCACAACTATACCGTCCTCCGCGCTGCAACCACATCTTTCTCCGGAAGAGAGACAGAACAGTGAGGGCTACACACGCTGTAGCAAACTAATGTATAGGTTCACACACACAAACACACACACACACACACACACACACACACACACACACACTCTTATTCCTAGGCCTGGCATCAATCAGACAAGTTCCAACTTCCTAGAGTCCCCACAGAGCTGTGTCCTCTCCCTCGTACCTGCGCCTCCTGTTGGAGGCGTCCCCAGAGAAAACAAGTTTCCAAAGCAGAGGAGCAAAGACTTTGTTAAAGTCAACTTTCACATCAGGAGTAAAGATCCTGAGTACGGGACTCCACATTGACGGGACCAGGTTTACCACTAGTAAAAGAAACTGTGTGTGGCCACGGGGTGAGTGCTTCTAGTATAACTTGTGGGGACAGTTTGTCCTGAGACGGTCCTCACTGAGCGAGGGTAGTTTGGAGTTAGGATTACAGAGGTAAAGATAGGAGTCAAATTTGTTGTATATATGTGACGATTAGATTAAGGTATTGTTTCCCAAAGACTGGGTCGTGACCCCCAGGTGGTTCGCAAGACATTTTTTGGGGTCGTCTTGCATCATGTCTCCTAGGAGTTTCCAATAGTGTTTGATTGCTTTGGGTCGAAAAGGTTGGTGACTTTTCAAATATGAGTCCCAAGAAAAAAAAAGTTTGGGAAACATTGGATTAAGGGACAACAAAACGCATTTTGTCTTTTGCTTACAAACACAAACACTGTTTTTTGTGCGTGTGAGAATGAGACATGGAATTCACATCAATCATCAGTTTGTTTTCTGTTGTTGAAGAATTTCACTATTATATTTTTTTAACTGAATACTGTAATTGAAGTTTTGACTGATTCAATACTGGGCCATTTTGGAGAACATCTGACCACATCTGAGGTTT